CATCAGGAGAAGTGCGGCCAGCATCGAGGGAGGGGATTCTGCCCCTCTGCTCTGCTCTGGGGAGACCTCACCTGGAGCCCTGCGTCCAGTTCTGGAGCCCTCAACACAAGAAGGACATGGAAGTGTTGGAGGGGGGCCAGAGGAGGGCCACAAAAATGATCCGGGGGCTGGAGCCCCTCTCCTACGAGGACAGGCTGAGGGAGTTGGGCTTGTTCAGCCTGGAGAAGAGAAGGCTGCGGGGAGACCTGATTGCGGCCTTTCAGTACCTAAAGGGGGCCTGTAGGAAAGATGGGGAAAATCTTTTTAGTAGGGCCAGCTGGGACAGGACAAGGGCTAAAGTTTTTAAACTAAACTAGGGTAGGTTTAGACTAGATATAAGGAAGAAGTTCTTTACAATGAGGGTGGTGAAACACTGGAACAGGTTGCCCAGAGAGGTGGTGGAGGCCCCATCCCTGGAAACATTCCAGGCCAGGTTGGATGGGGCTGTGAGCAGCCTGATCTAGTTAGCAGTGTCCCTGCTCCTGCAGGGGGGTTGGACTAGATGACCTCTAGGGGTCCCTTCCAACCCAAAACATTCTATGATTCTATTCTTTGAAAAAAGTTGTGCAAAATTGTCTGTTTGGAATTGCCGGCAATATTAAATGTCCATATAGATTGGAATTGCAAATTGCTTATTAGTTGTAGTTCTTAAATACCCGGTGTCATTATGTGAATTCATGACCCTTTCTCCATCCATTTTTTTTTCTGAATGTCTTTCAGGCTTCTGAGATGAATGCAAGTGGAGTCAGTCAGCTCTTGTAATTCATGTTAGGTGAGGGCAGAGACTAAATAGTATGGATGTGTCAGTAAAGCAAAATGCAAAGGACTGCAGCCCATGTTTTCAGCACAAACGTGCACAGTATGAATGTGGACTTAACCTTGCCTTGAACTGCAGCGTGGTACCCAATCTTTCTCTCCTAAGTCCACTGTACAATGAAGAAGGAACAAGATGGAGAATCAGCTGCTAGTTGTGTCTTTTTTTTATTCCGAGCATATGAAGTTCCTATCCAAAAAAAGGTTTGGTGATGTTTAGTCACCGCCTGCGTTGTATAGTGGTTCCTTTCTCCATGGGGCATTTGGCAGTTGCATTGATGACTTTTTGAGAGCCGATACTGGTTTATGTTAAATCTGGTTTAATCCTGATGCATTTCAGATACGACTTACGCTGGTGTGATCACCTGTTTCTTCTTTTAGTATAATATATTGATATAACAATATGTTAATATGTGACATTTGAGAGAGGCAGCGAGAGGCATACAGGTTAAATTCCTGGGGTACTGTACAAGAATTGCTGTGCCTAGGTCTGTGTCCAGGACCAGTTAAAATAAAGCTTTGGTTCTAAATGTTGCCACTGAGCGTTGTACACTGAGGTAGAGCTGACTTAGAGAAGTATTCTTATTTTTATAGCATCAGGTGGTACATCTAAACAGATATTTGGGAATGTTCTTCTGTAAATGCAGTCAGAAGTAAAGATAGGAAGCGCCTCTTCTAACATATTTGAAAATTCTAAACCACCCCAGAAATATGGATTGTATTACTGTAGTCATTTCAAACATTTACGATGGCTATTTATTTCCCCTCCAGACTGAGGCTGACCTTGCAAGAAACTTCCCAGGAAAGCGCATATCTAGCTCAAATAACACTCCTGTCTCCCGACTTCCTGCTAACCCATCAAGGGTTGATCGTTTGATTGTCGACCAGCTACGAGAACAAGCCAGGGTAAGCCTCCTTCAGCTGCAATTCCTGCTTTTCTTTTTGGTTTTATGTTTGTTTGCTTAATGGAGACTCACGCTGAGCAATTTCGGTGTTTGCAATGTATCTGGCAGGTGCTCACATTAGTAGGAAAAATGGAAAGGCTTCGTGGGACCCCTGTACACGGTAACATATCCACCACATTGGAACGCCATATGGAAGCCATCCACCTAACACAGGCGAGGCGTAAGGACGAGATTATTAATGCTGCTAATCCACAGAGACAAGGAGCACCGCGTTATAATAACGAGAAAGGTAACTGCTGTCCGTTCCTGTGGTTTTAAAAGCTTTTTCAAAGATTTAATTGTGAAAATAAGGCCTTTTGAAATGTGCAGCAATTAGTGCGACTGCAGCAAAAAAAGTTTGTAAATCTAAACCTGTTACTTTTTAAAAGACTTTAAATAACTTTAAGAGATCTTTTTCCTTTTCGGTGTTTCTCTTACTAGTTTAAACGCTTTGAGGCACTCTCCTCTTGGCTAAAAGAGAACTGTAAAAACTGTTCGGTGATATTATATAAGTAGTTCTCCTAAAAGTAAAAATGTAGTTGATTTTAAACAAGTTGAATTTTTTTTTTTTTTTTTTTAGTGGCATTGCTAGTCTTTCTCTTCAGCTTATAAAGTAAAAAAAAAAAAAAAAAAAACTGTTGGTGCTGTGTTAATTGATTGTGTCTGTCTACCTTACCTAAATCACAAACCTGCCAGAAATGATGTTTTACGGTTCCCAACTTCTGTTGCTATAAAACCAGAATAATTTGTAGCAGTAGTATGTATGTCTGTAGAAGTAATGCAAAACTAGGACAAACTGCATTCCCTTCCAATAGCATAGTGTAAGTGATAATTTGCTACTCAGTATAGCAACCATACAGCTCATACATACAGGAATTTGGGGCTTGGGGGTAAAGATCATATTATTTTTCTTCAGAAAATACCTGTGTCTTGGAAAATGATTTCCAAAGAGGAATGCACTTCCCCTGGCCACCCCCATCCTCTTTTGGACCTTACTCAGCACGGCCTATACTGCCTTATTTCCTGCAGCGAGGCTGACAGTGCGCAGTTCCCATGGCTTCCAGCAATGTGTATGGGGTAGTTCTTCCTTGTAAGAAGGGAAAGATAAACTGTAAAGAGAGTCAAAATGTTTTGTTTTCACAATTTAGGTGTCAAGCAGTTTCTTAATGATGTTATATCCTTAAAAGTAATAGTCCTGTAAGCAAACCAACTTCTAAAATTAGTCCTAAAATTGTGTGACATCAGCCCCAAGCATAAGCCAGGGAGCAGGCAGTCATCCTCTGACAAAAGAAAATAATCCAACAAACCATGTATTTGATAATGCTTTATAATAAAAGTATATGGAAGCATTATTTGACCCATCCACGTATCGTACGTGCAGTGAGGAAAATGGCAGTTAGTCTTTTGTGATTAATCTGCGGTGTAGTTAGGTTTCTGATGAAGAGCTGCGCTGCTGTTGAGTGTCTGAGCACCACCTAAATCAGCTACAGAAAAGCCTTTAGTCTGTTTTCTGCTGGGAAATACCTGTTTCTTTGAGTTCTGCTGATGGTGACCAGCTGCGAAGGCTGGCAGTGAGCCTTTTCTCACTGTGAGGCTGGGTGGGTATCGGTGCCACTGCAAGGAAGACAGAGGAGGGAAAAAGGGATGGCATCATGCTCATCATGGGGACAATCTTTTTAGCAGGGCCAGCTGTGACAGGACAAGGGGGGCTGGTTTTAAACTAAACCAGGGTAGGTTTAGACTGGATCTAAGGAAGAAATTCTTTCCAGTGAGGGTGGTGAAACCCTGGCAGGGGTTGCCCAGAGAGGGGGTGGAGGCCCCATCCCTGGGACCATTCCAGGCCAGGTTGGACGGGGCTGTGAGCAGCCTGATCTAGTTAGCGGTGTCCCTGCTCCTGCAGGGGGGTTGGACTAGATGACCTCTGGGGGTCCCTTCCAACCCAAAACATTCTTTGATTCCATCTGGCTGGAATTGAGTAGGTAGCTTTAGTTATTAAGTATTGTACATAGTTCCCTCTGATAACATTAATTAAATGGGCTTAATTGTTGTATCGCAGGCCGGATGGTTATGCCACTGAATCTCGGACACAGTTACAGTTGCTATTAGTGTGAGGTGTTACAGCTATCGTTTGCAAGAGAAGGATGCTAACTGATGGAACTCAACCGATGCAGTACAGGGTCCAGCATTAGCTGTTTCTTGAGTAAACTTTGCGTACTGATGATGGCTTGAACAAATTTACAGATTTTCTTTTTTTTTTTAATGTATCAATATCACCAGGCTTGTATACTAGTTTAACCTGTAATGTATTTTTCTGTTGTAGATGTTCTGGCTCTGGCAGCTGCCATTAGGGAGTTGGCTGCTTCCACACGCAAGGCTCGTACTGCTTTATGGTGTGCGTTACAGATGGCTTTGCCAAAAAACTTTTCAAGCGGTCTGGTAAAACAAGAAGTTGTTGAAAAGGCATTGCAAGAGCTTTGTCCTCCAAACACAAGCACACAAGAAAAAAGCAGCATGGAGCATGAAAACAAAGGAAGCAGAAAAGAAAAACCTGAGGAACTCGTGAGGGTTCTGGAATAATAGCAAATAACAACGACGACGACGACAAAAGGGAGGCAGAAGGCTGAGGACTGGGAGGGCAGGGCGAAGCGCCCCGCGTGGTACCATGGAAGGTGTTTTGGATCACTTATCAAAAAGCAAAAGGGTTAATATAACTGATCAGTGCTGCAATTCTATTACTGTGATTCTGGTGTTGAGAGACACATCTTGTAATAGTGTTAATGCAATTTTAATATTGCTGATATTGCAATGTCTGCTACATAGGAATTTTATTATTAAGGGGAACTAAACAATAGCTGAGCATTTCCTTGTGTGCTTATCGAAAGCTGTGTATCAGCTGCGAGTCAAGCCATGACCTGAGAAACCAGATGTGGTCAAACTTAATTCTCCTTTTTTTTTGTTAGCGATACAATTTAGCATACTTAAAAAAAAAAACAACAAAACTATTTGAAAGATATTTCATAATTGTTCAGGGTTTTTTTGCACCATTATATAGTTCTTTTAAGTGCCAAAGTGATCACTAAGTAGTTTGTATCCTATCACTCTGTACAGAGCAATCCACACTCTTGTGGTGTTTTTGTGACGGGGAGTCAGGTCATTCAGGTTATCACTAACAGTTTGACAAGAATAATCAGTGTTTAATATTGGTTGTGTGAGATGCTTCAGCGGTTGTGCTGCTAATTCAGTTTCTAACTTAAACCAATGTAAACTGAGCTTTTCTATAGCGTAGTCCATTTAAAATTTTCCATTAAAAACAAAAAAAAAAGGATTTTGTAGATTTGCAGTAAGTACTGCATTGAAGTACACATTAGCAGGTGATATAAAATTGTCACTCAGGATTAGAAATTAGATTTATTGATTCCTCAGTGGGTTAAAAAGCAGTAACTATATAACATAGTATGCACTTAATTAAAAAATTGTTTGTTATTAATGTAAGTTCATGGTACTATAATTTTCAGAAACATTCCATATTTATTTTAGTGTGTTTATTGAATGTTTATTTAAAATTCTATTTTAGTAATATAAAGTTGGATATTTTGCCAAATCTTCCGAATAATCAGATTTAACGATTTACTCAGGAAATATGTATATTATTATATAAATATACACATGGTATATAGGGTTTTTTTTGGGGGGGAGGAAGGGATGTTTGCAAAATATTTACACAAAGCTAACTATATACTAGGTTACCAAAGCGGTTTAACTGATTAATTTTTTCGCATGGAAAATTTAGTATATTTAATTGCTGTTAACTAGTCTCCATTCTGTGGCTTAGACAATCAGAAGTGTTATGTATCGGTGTGAATGTTCAGGGTGAGGATTAGAAAAGAATGCCTAAGTCGAGTTTTGTTCTTAGGGCACTTATAAATATTTTAATGCTTTAACAACTATCTTACTGTTACACGATCTCTTAACATGTACTAATATCAGTGTATTTAATGAACGGCTTTGGAGAGCAGTTCTTATTTTAAAAATGAGTTAAGTTGGGGATATGAGTGAAGTTTAAAAGACAAAAATGAAGATTTTTATGTTCCATAGTGTTCGATGTTGAATTTGACATTTTGTGGATAAATATATAATTGTTTCCGTATGTAGATGTACTTGCAAAATGTTCCAAATGCAGTTATGTAGTTTTGGATCCGTGGATGTTTCTAGAGCAGATGTAGTCTCAATAGTGCCATCGTTAACTGTAATGAGGCAGTAGCTACATGCCTTGGTAGGACAATTTGCACAAGCCTCATTGTAATCCACTGAGTAAAGTTTCAAAACAAGAGTCGGTAGAAATCAGAATCTTAGTATAGCAAGGTTATTTTTTTTTTCCCCCCTTAAAAAAAGTGAATTCAATTTAAGAGAATATTTTCAGCCTTAGCCTAAAAAACAGGTAGTGGAGAGAGTTATTTTAGTGTGAGTGTTTTCTTTGTGTGCACGTGCCGTTAACTTGCACTAACTAATTTAAGAAGGTGAAATTTGCATTTCTGAAACTCGTTACCTATACTCCACGGTTTAAAAAGTGGAGTCTGCAGTATTTCAGTTAATGAATAATTTATTTTTTTTTTTTTTTAATTATGATTACTGTGTGGACAGGAAATCAGAATTTGAAAGTCTTGATCAGCTTTTCTGTTTACAGAACAATTGTAGTCCTGCAGGGTTGTTTCGTAGCGGTCGATGTATAGGGCGTAGTAGGTCCTTATTGTATTGCTCGTGTGTTAATTATTATTGTGAAGGAATGTGGTCTTAAATCAGTTCATAATATAGTTAATGTGCCTTTAACAGTCTCATTTTTCAAAAATGGTAAATAGCTGTATGCTCCCTTCTGGTTTTGCAGTTTAAAAATGCAATTAAAAAGGGTTACGGAGTGGCTGCACTTGACTATAGCTAACAATTAGCCTATGCTGTTAATGTTGTTCTTGCATGCTGTCACGCCGTCCAGGCACGGGCTCTCTGACGAGCATAAAGCACTGTAGCTGTGGAGAGTCGCCACAGGTCAAATGTTTCAGTACCAGATTTTTTCTTATCATGCCCTACAAATATGACCAGCACATGCTCATATTTCATTTTGCCTTGCACTCTTTTTTTTCTTTGTCAAAACCCCGTGTCTTTACATCAAAATTATTTGGCGCCCATTTCTTTAAATTATTTGATTATAGACAGCTTTAGACCTATGAAGACAAAAGTCCTTTCAGAATGCTTCAGTTCTGTTGCTTTATTACACACCCTTTTATGTTGCAGGGGAAGAAACCGCTGTATTTTATAAAACAGCCACCTCGAGTTGCAGCAGCTCTGTTACGGTCATGAAATATTTTTTTGCTGCCTAGCGTTTAATTTGGCAACAATGTACAAATTCTGTAAGCATTGCACTGTATTTCTAGTAGGAATAAGTACAAGTATGCTTCTGGGTTTAGGGACTAACTAGTCACATTTTGCTGACTTCAGTGGAAGCAGAGTTAAGGTATTAAGTCCCGCGTAAGCCAGAGGTGTTTTTATATTGGAGTTTGGTTTGGTTTTTGATTTTTTTTTTTTTTTTTTTTCTTTTCCCATTTGTGGAGCAATCGGGTAAAAACAAGTTTATTCTCTTCTCCTCTCCCTTCCGTCCCCCCCAGCTTTGCTGAGATTTAATAGTTCTCTCTCTTTCTGTTTTGATTTATGCAATTTAAACTTTTGAATGAGGTGAAGAAGGTAGCAGAGTTGTAGCTAGTAATGGTAGCAGTGATACTAGATTGCTCCAGTTTAAGAAAATGAGATACTTAAGAGTCCCTTTGCAAGTCAATGTTATTATTAGGGTGTGTGTTTTGATAGTTGGTGGTGAATCTTTAATGCTTTAAAATCCCAAATTGATAGTCCAATAAAACATAGATTTAAAAATCACAATTATTTCTGTATTCTGTGTGAAGAACTGGAGGCTTCTGGCGATTCAACCTTCTTGATTCCCAGAAGAGAGGCCGGCATCAGAGTAAGAATTTTTTTTTTTCTGGTTATAGGTTTGGTATCTCTGCCTTTCTTCTGTATCCACAGGGTCCCTCTGGCAATTCAATTAGTCTGATGGTAAATATATAAACTAAAGCTAAGAAATTGGTATTAGTTTGTCATTACTTTTAATAGAACAGGATACAGGGAGAGCATCTAGGCTTGAGGTGTTGGCTTGCTGTGGCCTTTTCAGGAGTGTGTGTAAGACTATTAGCTCCCAAACTGCTGCTCTTGGGGTTTTTTTTTTCTTTCCAGACTGAATATTCTTCTTTGCTCTCGGTATTTATCACTGCTACTAATCTTTTTGTCTGTACCAGGATACGTATAATTTGGAAATGAGTTGCCTTACAACTTGGAAACTGATGCTCTGGGCTTCATAATAAGTCTCTTCTTATTATTCCTGGTGAAGCAAATGAACAGTAGAAGGTGGAGGTTATGTGAGTGAGAGGCTTTTTTGAGGTACTTGCTGGCCGTTTAGCCTTTACCGCCTTTTTGGAGAAGTGTGGAGATACTCCAAAATTTTGTGGAAAGCTTTCTAGCTTTAGTCCTACGCGCTTTTCTAGAAGTGACCATGACCACAGTTTTGTTTTTTTTTTTTTTTTTTTTTCTTTTCCCATTTGTGGAGCAATCGGGTAAAAACAAGTTTATTCTCTTCTCCTCTCCCTTCCGTCCCCCCCAGCTTTGCTGAGATTTAATAGTTCTCTCTCTTTCTGTTTTGATTTATGCAATTTAAACTTTTGAATGAGGTGAAGAAGGTAGCAGAGTTGTAGCTAGTAATGGTAGCAGTGATACTAGATTGCTCCAGTTTAAGAAAATGAGATACTTAAGAGTCCCTTTGCAAGTCAATGTTATTATTAGGGTGTGTGTTTTGATAGTTGGTGGTGAATCTTTAATGCTTTAAAATCCCAAATTGATAGTCCAATAAAACATAGATTTAAAAATCACAATTATTTCTGTATTCTGTGTGAAGAACTGGAGGCTTCTGGCGATTCAACCTTCTTGATTCCCAGAAGAGAGGCCGGCATCAGAGTAAGAATTTTTTTTTTTCTGGTTATAGGTTTGGTATCTCTGCCTTTCTTCTGTATCCACAGGGTCCCTCTGGCAATTCAATTAGTCTGATGGTAAATATATAAACTAAAGCTAAGAAATTGGTATTAGTTTGTCATTACTTTTAATAGAACAGGATACAGGGAGAGCATCTAGGCTTGAGGTGTTGGCTTGCTGTGGCCTTTTCAGGAGTGTGTGTAAGACTATTAGCTCCCAAACTGCTGCTCTTGGGGTTTTTTTTCTTTCCAGACTGAATATTCTTCTTTGCTCTCGGTATTTATCACTGCTACTAATCTTTTTGTCTGTACCAGGATACGTATAATTTGGAAATGAGTTGCCTTACAACTTGGAAACTGATGCTCTGGGCTTCATAATAAGTCTCTTCTTATTATTCCTGGTGAAGCAAATGAACAGTAGAAGGTGGAGGTTATGTGAGTGAGAGGCTTTTTTGAGGTACTTGCTGGCCGTTTAGCCTTTACCGCCTTTTTGGAGAAGTGTGGAGATACTCCAAAATTTTGTGGAAAGCTTTCTAGCTTTAGTCCTACGCGCTTTTCTAGAAGTGACCATGACCACAGCTCCCTGGGATCGTGGTTCATCTGCTGTCCAGGCCTTCTCCCATTCTGTTTGGGGAAATAAAGGAGGAAAGGGGAGCTACCAGAAGAAAGGAAACACTGGGCTATGGGAAACCCTACTTCCCATGGGCAGGATCACTCTTCTCTGTGGCTCCTGTGGTCAGAAGGCCGTGAGCCCAAGGGGCCAGGAGTCTGTCTGTCCTTAAACTGTTTCCCTTTTCCCCATCTGCTGCTCGTAGATGCTGTCAGGATTCAACTGCTGAGACTTGTGGCAGAGTTGGCTTGTTCTTATCCCGCTCTGGTAGCCATACTTCCACTCTTGCAT